TTACATTATTTATGGAGACCTGGATGAATTTCTGCTTGCACGGATCGGGTGTTGACAGTCAGCAATAGCCTATCTTCATGAACAGGTTCTGGTGACTACCACTCGGTGCACATTGATAACCATGACAGCGTTTTTTATTTTTTTTACTTTAAAGTGGCTTATTTATTTAGAATAAACAAGAAAATTTACGTGTAAAAGAAAAACAAATTTACAAGATTATAATGCAATGATGAAAATTTATTGCATCGTTAATTTTTACTTAAAAAAACTAACGAGGAGGCCATTGTACGGTTTCATTCCATTGGTAAAGCCCCCAATTAATGATGCATTTGCATGTGCTTCATGTAACATATTTGAATGTGAATTATAATCTTTCATTGTTGCCCAAATTTACACATTTAAATGTTGCTAATTTGCTACTTTCTCTCTTATGCATGTATGTTTGTTTTAATTTCATACATTTGTGTGTTTTTACTCATGTTTATTAAATATGCCAATATCAACTCAAAAATGTAAATTCCATTTTTTTCCCCCGTCTTTAAATGGCCCTAATTCACCATCATAGATCACTGCCAAGACACCATTATGAAGACTATCCTGCAGCTGAAAATACTTCAACCCAACAAAGGTAAAGTTTAGGATCTTTCAATTAAGTCAATAACTTAATAGATGTAAGCCTGTCAAGCTAGAAACACCAATTGTATTACCAATTGTATTTTTTATATATATCTTATATAAATATATATCCAATTATAAAATATATTTAATATTTTCTTTGTTTGTGATCTTAGCAAACAGAAATGCTGCTTGATGACATGTAGACCAGCCCACCTACAAACAGCGGGGCGTCCTTGTCTTGGTCCTGGCAGTCCGGCTGCGCTCCGTGTTCCATGAGGAATGAGGCGTTTTCAATCAGACCCTGTTCTACTGCCAGGTAGAGGGGCGTCTGGCCCCGAAGAGTCCGACAATCCAGAGAGTTTGGACCTGCAGCTGGAGAACAGGTGAACCCTTTCAATCAACTCCTCACTTCTTCCTATTACTGGTAAAATACCTTTGAAATAAATTCATCTTTTATAGCAGCAGAATGATTGCATCAGTCACATAAAAACAGTTCTATCTAAAAGGTTTTTCATAATAACTTTCAATGTTAAGTTTTTAACAACTATTAAAGTCATAGGGAAGCGGCTTTTCCAAAGGTTGCATTTCTGAATTCTCCCGATTGGTGCCCGACTCTACACGAGCGAATAAAGTGAATGTGATTGGTCATTTATCAAGGGGGCAGCATTGTTGTGGAGGAAGGTTCGCAAGCATGTTTGGTTGTGGCTGGTTTGTCAGAAGCATCTTGCCAACCAGTTAGCAACTTAGTGCTAGCAGGTTCTAGGGGTGGAACGGTTCACAAAATCCACAGTTCGGTTCGGTTCACGGTTTCGTGGTCACGGTTTTCGGTTCGATATATGGTGATTGTTAGCCTGACATGTTGGTCGTGTTGCTGTTAGCATAAACAAAACGTGTTGCACAATGCTTGCACACTGTTGCGACAGTGGCGTTGGATGTAGGAGTTTGCCCTGAAATCGAAGGGTT